TATTAACCTGAGAAGGTCTAGACCAGAAAATACTGTGATCACAGCATTTGGGATCCGATGACATGTGTCAATCAAGTCAGCGAGCCTGGCCACCCGATCCCATTAGTCGCATCTTACGACAAGCATGGGTTATTGAAGATCATTTCTAACCCGGACCTTCACAGGTCAATATAAGTTATGAAACGAAGACTACAAGAAGAATTATGTTCTTTACGATTAAGAGGTTTTTTTACATCATCGTCAGTACGCGCTACAACACAGCAACCTTGTCACACGAGAGACTACACATAAAACATGGTCTGCCCTAAAGTTTGAGCTGGAACAAGTATATCATATTTCAACACAGAATCCACCCGTAGGAGTGAAGGGGTGTGTCATCCTACTGCAGTGATGTGTCATGTTTAGCGCCGCTAGCTGGGTTGTATGTTGCAATATCATAGTCAAACAGTGATAAATAATACGCCAGGAATTGTAAATTACCTTCTTTTTTAACCTATATGCATTGACAAGTTCAAGGGGAGCTGCAGATAAAATCTTCCAGGGTGCTTGACACATATCATGTGTAGCTACCGTTACAACACTTAACTTGAAACAAGCTTTCATTTCTCTGGCATTTTGTAACATAAAAGGATGATAATTAGTGATGTGGTTTTAGCAGTATCAGAAGTAGTGATCTATGGGTATCAGCAACGGCTACTATTTCCCTCACTACATGTCAATGTTGGCTCTTATACAATATTGGGTCAAGGTACAAGAGCATTGTACTCTATTTTGTTGACAATTTCTTTTTCAGGCTTCAATGAAAATGGCGGACAAAATCATCCCAAATGTGTTTCTTCTCAACCTGATTGTGTCCTTTATATGTGATAAGCACGGTTTATAAATAATCCTCACAAAGGCTACACCATTATGTAAAGATTTGGAGTGGGTTTAATGGAAACACGACAACCAATGTATTTGCACGCACAATACGTCAGTGTGAAACAACAAAGAAACGTTGATTACGTTAAGTAAATGGATATCATTGGAACCCAATGGCCGAACGCAGCAGGGTGAATGAACAAGTCCAAAGGCAATGTACAATACAGCAGCAGTGTCAGTAGCAAGAATGTCAGTGAGTAAAATGTTAACCTTGCAGCAACATTTGACAAACTTTCAAAATATGCCAAGACTCTGATATGCAGGGAGACCCGTAAAGATCCGGGGTAGAATAGGTCTTCAGCAACCCATGCTTGTTGTAAAAGGCGACTATGCTTGTCGTAAGAGGCGACTAACGGGATCGGGTGGTCGGGTTCGCTGACTTGGTTGACACATGTCATCGGTTCCCAATTGCGCAGATCGATGCTCATGCTGTTGATCACTGGATTATCTGGTCCAGACTCGATTATTTACAGATCGCCGCCATATAGCTGGAATATTGCTGAGTGCGGCGTAAAACTCAACTCACTCAATCACTCACTCTGATATGCAGGGTGAAACATTTGCACAACTGATGTGACACGGAAGAAGCATCCACTTGCCAGTGTATAAAAATTCTATAACTGTTCAGAAAAAAAAGTTTATAGCCGTTTTAAAAGATTCTAAATAACAACTGACTCCATCAGAATTAAATCTAGTAACGTTTACGCCAGTGCTTAAATAAGGTTCTAACGCTCCATGACAAATAATGCTTTTTAAAACTGAATGTAATGAGCTTCTACACAAAAAGCTTGATTTCCAATTAATTACACGAGCATTATCCTATACTACTATATTGTCATATTCTGGCTGCAATAGGCTAATCTAGCGGTTAAAGAAAAGACCAAAGATACAGGTTTAATTCCCCAAATGGGTACAATGATGTCAATGGATTGTGTATCTTGATATTGGTGTAATATTGCTGAAACGTGGAGTCAAATACGACTCACAAATCCACGTTGGATATTATCGGTTTGATACTTTATTCTGAGCTTATGGTACGGTATGAAGCTTACCCCTCACTTGACAATGTATGGTCTACCACTGTATCGAAAACGCCATTACGTAACCTAAGAGTAAGTGAATATGGTTTTACGCCACCTTTATCAATGTTTCAGGAATATCACTGCGGGGGACATCAGAAATGGGTTTCACACATTGTACCTATGTGTGGAATCGAACCCAGGTTTTCAGTGTGACCAGCAAACGCTTTAACCATTAGGCTATCCCACCGCGCCGCATAACCTAAGACATTATCGAAGTGGTTGTATAACTTTATAACAGTCCATATGATTTAGAGTTGATCACATTTACTTTGGCGCCGAGTTTCATGTCTTCCTTGTCCAAATATAGTCTACCATGGTTGTAAGAGGAAGATGTAAATATTTATGACCAAGGAAGTTGTTCAGTCAAAAGTAAATGAGGGCATGTACAGCAGATATATAAACAGTGTAGATAAGACTTCTGCGTCGTGTTATTCGTAGTATCATTAACATATTCAGTTTATGATCTGACATGATTTGTGCTTACAAACTTTCAATATATCATGTGCGCGTTGCTGATTGTAAATATTCAAAATTTCTTCTATTAGATGGTCTTATTGTTTTTACTTTCATGTAGAATTAAGCGTCCATTGAATGTATGCTGCATGAGTTTATATTAACTCACTGTTGGCTCATTTTAATATATTTTTGAATCTAGTTGGATTTACACCATTCCTTCAGCCCGCTGGCGATCGTATGATAATTGGCCGAAATTTAAAAGAACAAAAATACTGCGTTTTAAAACTTGGTACGTGAAAATGTTACATTGAAAGTTTTTTGGGACTTACGTACCCTCTCAGGAGGACAATAATTTTACAATACTTCAACCCCCTTTGAGGATACAGCCACTAACAATCTGAGTTGATAATCTGAACTACCAATTATAAAACTTTATCTATTTACAAAACATATATCAAAATTCATTTAACAAATCTATCTCTTTTAAATAATCAATGATTAAATGATAATTAACTTAAGTAAAAGGTCATTTACTGATATTGAAATATTTAACACTTATGATGGAGAACTCAACACAGTCACTATCATAACACGTTTATTGTGTCACAGATGTTATGTTTTGGATTACACTTCCTCCGTAATGTACAGATTCTAGTACGGTTGTTGGGTTGAGTCCCATCCAGGATTCGAACCCAACTCCCTCAGAGACAGGCACCTAATCGCCAGGACACCTCGCTGTCTTACCGCAGCGGCTGAGTTGGTTTGGTGGCTGACTTTGTGCGCTGCCGAATAGTGTAATCACAAATATAACATTTGATAAATTTGACCACTTTCTAAATGGCATTGTGTATTTAAAGGTTCCTGTGCATTAGACCGATAACTCCATTCTTTGTACGATAATTCTTTCTTTTCTTGCTAGCTATTCTCGAAACGTTCGTAGCCCTACGAACTTCTTAAGCCCATTCTTAACACATTGGCTACGATCAAAGTTAAGAATTCTTAGGGCTACGAACGTTTCGAGAATAAGGCCCCAGTGATTAGTAACTTCTTATTGTTCACGGAATAATTACTATAACAAAACTACGCATGCTTACTTGTCCTAAAATCCAAGCTGTCATAACAATATTTCTGAACTCTGAAGAGTGAGTGAGTGAGTTAAGATTTAAAGTCACATCGGCAATATTTCAGCCATATCGTGACTAAAACTAGTTCTAAATTTTGAACTCTGAAGAAAATACTGCAATTGTTCCATTCACTGCAAGACCTATCTATAATTATTTGCATAAAAAAAGTCATTTACAATTTGATGCATTAACATCAAATAAATGCTATACCGCCGGACACCCCGTACTATTATTAAGTTTGTAACGTATAAATGAAGAAGCACTTACTCCACAATAAGCCTACAGAAAGAAACAATGAACGTATGCCATAATGATCAATTTCGATGATCGATCGATTCTTTTAGATTTCTCAATTACCTTTTCCCAATCATTATTGTTGCGAGTTACATTTGTATATACTACCCATCAAAAGTTTAGAGTCACTAGTGTAAATGTAGCCACTCACTTCAGTCAACTGTTCTAAACTTGATTTTGCAAAATATTCCATTCAGTTTATAGGTACTGTTTTCACATGAACTAATGTATTGTAAAACAAATTCGTAACGTTGAAAAGATTATTGTCATGAATTCAGTAACTGATGAATATCAGTAAAAATTGGCGAATTCTTAACAAAACTTTACATCAAAACGCAACTGTTCACATGAACGATATTTCCACATGCCTTTTAGCAAGTTTATGCATGATCCTCGTACAATTCATCTGCATAACGTTTGCAGCTGGTTCCCCCAAGTTAGTGGAGAAATTCATCTTCCATGTAACAATATATTGTACAAAACATATAGTGAGTGCTTTAAGTGAGTCTAAACTTTTGATGGGTAGTATATATATGTATGTACTTTAATTAACTTTCTCCATTTTGTTCTGCTCTCTTTGAACCTCAGATAACTCGAAGTATTTAGATAGGTCCTTTCAGCTATGAGACAACGATATGTGCATGTAGATATGTTCTTCGTGTTAACCAGCTGTTCATTGTTTTAATGTACGATATACACATGGTAAGAGTAGCTGAAGCCCTAAATAATAATATTAGGGACTGCAGTCCTCATTGTTTCCAAGTTACAGCTCAGATGACCACCCAGTGCCCTGGTGGAGTGGCTCTTCTTGGATCAGAACACACAATAGTCGCTGACAGAACTAAGTACACAGGCTTTATATGGGTTCGACCAGTGGATGGGCGATATGTCGTCACATGCAATCCCGGTTGCAGCTTAACTGCTGGATACAATCTTAACTATTCCTACAATCATCCATGCCGTTAGAAATATACAATAAATCCCTTTAGGTAAATTCTTATCTGCTGACATATGTCATCACTTGGACGAGCACAGTGTTCATTTAGCATTTCTAACACACAATGGTAATACTGGTATCATTTACATGGAGAAAGTAACGGATTTTTGAGTAACTTTATAAACTATGTCAATGTTTGAGTGTAATGCCCAAGTCTTCATGTGGTTTTTACTTCTCTTTCTCCATGTTGTCCTGCTATCAGGAATCCCACAGTGCAGCATCAGGAGTGATGAGGACACCGACTCCCTGGAACCTGGAACACAGCTGACTCTGACGGTGGACATCACAGGCTACTACTGTTCTGTGGAGACTGGCTTTGATCTCACTACTGGTGATGTGACTGAAGAGTTGGGGATGAGACACACCGTCAGTGTTGTAACAGACTTAACCGTTAACACAAACTTCAGTGTAGACATCACACGATTTGGTGATGTAACGCTGGACTTCACATGTGACAGAAGCTGGCCTCTGAATTGCAATGGTGTCCGGAAGCTACTGAAAAGTGGGTAGAAAAGTTTACAATACAATGTGAAACATTTCTGACGTTTAATGCCTCTGCTAACAATATGACAGTTACATTGATGGTGCAGGAAAACCCGAAGGAACACAGGCCCTAGTAATTCACCGGCTAGGCAAAATGGGGAATCTGCATAGTGCTGATCATCATATAAGATTAACTTTTTCTGAATTCTATAATCATCAGTTCTAGGCACAGCAAATGAACATTTGTATATGCTATTGTTTATCATTTTCTTGTTTATTATGACAATCAGGTTTATTTTATTCAGATTTAGTCAAGTGAGTTTGCTGATACAGCATGGTGCCAGAACCTCGTTCATTCATTCAATACACATCCTTTGAATGATATTTCATGTTAAGTTGATTTTCTTTTGTCATTCATCCATGCTTCCATCCATCCACCCTTCCATCCATTTATTCATTCCTTTCCTTTTGATTCATTCGTTCATTCCTTTATAATTATGTTCCACAATTGTATTTCATTTTGTGTTGTATTGTACAAATTACCTCTTTGCATGCGTTCCCCACTCCTTCCTTCCTCTCTTTCTTCATTGATTAAAAGAGGATCCTATTCATTTCATTTATTTTTGATATGCAACAGCTCCACCGCAGTGCAACATCAGCAGCGACACAGACACCACCGCACTGGATCCTGGTACAAATCTCACCCTGACAGTCAACATCAGAAACTACTACTGTTCCCAAACTGCTGGGTTCCAACTGACAACTGGAATCATTACAGAAACACTGCTGGAGAACCGGACAAGACAACATAACTGACACTGTTCTAACCCATTCCTTGAATGTGACAGATGACCACTTCGGAGACGTCACTGTGACGTTCTTGTGTGACAGCATCATCAGGCCCCTTGTCTGTGACGGAGTTGACAAGCTGAGTGGTAAGGCTGCATGTGTATTCATATCATTGTCTGGCATGTATGGATGGCTTTTCGTTGAAGGTAGATTGTCAGTGCACATATATTATGTGTGCATCATACCTCAATAAATACAATATCTCGACGCTGCTGACGATGGGGTAGAATAGTGGTTTAAGTGTTCGCTCGTCAACGCCGAAGACTCGTTTGTCATCACCACGTTTGTCCTTTTGGATTAATCATGTCCGGAGGCTACTGAAAAGTAGATAGAAAGATGGTTTTAGTGTACAAAAAGAAACGTTTGTTTGTACATTAGCATTAGTTGGCTCAAACCCCAATTTGACAATACTTTAGTTAGCGTGGGAGAAAATCCTTAGAAGTTACAGATGACCTTTCGTTCTATTTCTTTCATTAATTGACATCATTTGAAGAGAGAACATCTTTAAACAAATAGATTTGCTGCCAACTGCCCACTGGTACCCTTAAACCGTTCATTCAGCCAATACTGCAAACGGCATCACACTCATTTCATTTCTTGTAGGATTAGCGCCTTCGACTGGAGAACCTACAGTCACGGACCCAGGTCAGATTTACAAAGCAACACTTTTAATTAACTACAAACCGGTTGAAACAATTTTGAGGCAGACATGTGCAGAATCTAACGGTATGTTCACACAGAGAAGTCTTCACTTTTACACTTCGTAAATGGTTCGCTTCCAACAAGATATAGGGGAGAAGACATTTGATATGTGGAATCGAGGTCTCAGCTCGACTGGTCGTACGTGTGTTAACTTCTCACTGTCAGTATTCCATCATATTGCAAGGGGCGGTGGGGTAGCGTAATGGTTAAAGTGTTCGCTCGTCAAGCCACATGCCCGGGTTCGATTCCCCACATGGGTACAATGTGTGAAGCCCATGCCTGGTGTCCCTCGCCGTGATATTGCTTGAACATGGCTAAACGCGGCGTAAAATCCATATCACTCACTCACCATGAATATGCATGCAATTTTGGGTATACAGGCAGCCTTTAGTTACTATCCACTAAAGGGAAACATCTTTTGATTGCTGTTTGAGCTGCTATAGATTATGTTGTTAACTCAGTCAGTACTGATATTGTCCTATTCAGCTACAACGTTACCAACTGACCAGACACCCCACCACCACCAGACACCCTCCTGCCGAAGATGATATAGTAGCTCCTGCTGTCGGATTATCTGTGGGAGTTGCCGTAATCCTTGTCATCGCCATAGTTCTCGCTGTCCGCTCTCGCCGAAATAAACTGACATTCAATTAAGCATAGCAAATTCACTTGGCATGAGTTAAATCTAGCAGAAATGAGATTGTTTTATGTTACATTTTTCATTTTCTAACTCATTAATGCAAACAGATGGTGACATAATTTTCATTTCTTACGTCCTTCTCTGTGTTGCATATGTATTCAGTCATGTTTTCAAGTGTATTACAACGTTTCCGTCGAGGGGCGGTGGGGTGGCCTAGTTTTTATAGCGTTCGCCTGACCCCCCAAAGACCAGGGTGCTATTCTCCCTATGGGCACAGTTTGTGAAGCCCATTTCTTGTGTCCAGGGTAGCATAATGGTTAAAGCGTTCGCTCGTCACGCCGAAGGCTAGGGTTCGATTCCTCACATGGGTACAATGTGTGCAGCCCATTTCTGGTGTCCCCAGTCGTGATCTTGCTTGAATATGGCTCAAAGCTGCGTAAAATCATACTCATTCTTGTGTCCCCTTCTGTGATATTAATTGAATATTGCTGAAAGCGGCGTAAAAATAAACTCACTCACTTACTTGTTTCTGTTGACTCTCCGTCGAGGGCAGCTCTGTGCTATATTTAGACTAGTGCTATGACTAGAATGAATTCTGGAAAGTTCTACAAGATACTACAACCATATGGAACCTTTCAGCTCCTACAGCATACATGTATTCTGTTGCTTATATCTGGAGACATATCATTAGCACCTTACTCACTCAATCACTCATACACTCGAGGCCAGCCTCTCTCGAACAACTCACCCACACATCACCTCACTCACTCGAACTCACACTCAAACAAAACAATCTCCCACGTTTCTGCTCTGATATGAACCACAGCAAAGCCTGGTCCAAGTCAGTCTTGTTTATCGTAGGAGGCAAATCAGTGAAATAGTGACGACAGGGTGACTGACCTTCTTCATATCAACCACAGGTTTGTCTAATTTCTGAATCTAAAATCATAATCATGGAATAACCTGAACCGTGCTGGAATTATTGTGTATTGTTTTTCATAAAAGCACCAAGTACACCTAACATATTTTGATAGCGGGTTTGAGAGAGTGAGTTTAGTTTTACGCCGCACTCAGCAATATTCCAGCGATATGGCGGCGGTCTGTAAATAATCGATTCTGGACCAGAAAATCCAGTGATCAACAGCATGAGCATCGATCTGCGCAGTTGGGAACCAATGACATGTGTCAACCAAGTCAGCGAGCCTGACCACCCGATCCCGTTAGTCGCCTCTTACGACAAGCATGGGTTTCTGAAGATCAATATTCTAACTCGGACTTTCACGGGTAGATAGCGGGTTTGAAGCTATTCATGAATGGGTGAACAGAATTTTGAATGCAAACTAAAAAATAGGGTACCAAGGATATTTCATTCTATCCGCTTATGATGCACTCATCCACCAAGCCCAATCTACTGTATAAACTCTGCTGTATAAACATCTCAATATTATTTGTACATCATGGCTTCCACGCCTGTCCTTTGTCTCCTCTCTGGCTTCATCAGCTTTCTGCCTAGCCAATGATGTTAATTATGTTGTTTTCTGTGTTACATTGTTACATCCAGTATATATATACTTCCCCCTTCTTCATGTTCCATTATGCTTGACAACGGTACAGGAATCTGTATCGAAACGTCGCACTCACGAATAAAAAGAAGTTGTTATCCATAAAGTTTGTTCTATATAGTACCCTTGGGGTTCAAAACGAAGCGAATGGATGTGTCCGTTTCGTTTTTGCTATAACAGAATGGAGGCATAACCCACTGTTCATCTATGTTCATCTATGTTCATCTATGTTCATCTATGTTCATTTCACCAGACTGTTGATCACAAATACTGCGGGTGTAGTTATGTTTCTTTGTTAACAAAAGTATCAGTGATCAAACGGAGACCGTAGAGTAGCCTATCGGTTCAAGCGTTCGCTCGTCACGCCTAAGGCTCGGGTTCGATTCCCACATGGGTACATTGTGTGCAGCTGATCCCCAGAGTTCCCCATCGTGATCTAAAAGCGGCATAAAACCATACTCACGTGTACGATCATACTCACTCTGTGATCAATCACATTTACATAATTCTATTACAGTTCATGTTACTCACTCACTCGTTCATTCACTCAAACAGGGAACAACATTTTTTGTGTTAACGTTTTCACCCGGTAGTTCCTGCAGTAATCGAGGACCACTTATGATCAGGTTGTTGACATGCATGTTCCTGGTGTAAATGAATTATGGTGCCAATAAAACCATATTAATATACCGATTGTCTACGGTCAAGCTGACATAGGCACGCCTATTGCTATAGGTGTTGTTAGATAACGGAAGGGGTAACGCTGGTTTGATTTGCAATTCAGGTCTATAGAGGTCATCTACATGCTTAAGGAAGCCCGAATTGGTGCAGGTGTTTAGTGATCTCAGTGATCACTAGTATGGCGTCGACAAACGTTTCATCAGAGAGACTTTGGAATTCGTTTCTATGGATCCAGGCGTGGTAAATCTAAATAACCCTGCAGAACGAATCTTGTCCCACTTGAAAATTGCTTGATCTGTTGCTTGACCTGTTCCTCCATATGGGGGTTTATACAAATACATGTTGTTTAACGCCGCACTAGATGATATTCCAGCGTAGGGAAGCCTACCTGTTAAACCAATGACTAATATCATGATATATAAAAGAATATTAATTTGAACTCAACACGTATATCTATCGGGTAGGCACACGACATGACGCGGGATAGCCCAATGTATGAAACGTTCGCTCGTCACACTGAAGACCCGGGTTCGATTCCCGCCATGGGTAAAATACGTAAAGCCAATTTCTGGTGTCCTCGCCACGATATCGCTGGAAAATTGCTAAATGTGGCGTAAAACGTTACTCACTCTGTCACTCACAACAGGGGAACACCAATTTTGATCAGCACACGTCTTTATTCAGACGGCACTTTGCTTCTAAAACAACACCATGAATGTTTCAACGGAAAGGAATCTTGCTCACTAAAATGATTGATGATTGAGGATTGATTGTTTACCGCTGCACTCAGCAATATTCCAGCGATATGGCGTCGGTCTGTAAATAATCGGGTCTGGACCAGACAATCAAGTGATCAACAGCATGAGCAAAGCTCTACACAATTTGGATACGATGACATATGTCATCCAAGTCAGCGAGCCTGACCCCCCGATCCCGTCAGTCGCCTCTTAGGACAAGCATGGGTTACTGAAGGCCAATGCTAAGCGGATCTTCACAGGTTTCAACTTCCCACAGTGTTTGCCATGAGAAAGGAACAGCCAAAGAGAGGGCAATGTTACCTTGTCAATATTAGGTAACATGTATTATTCTCGATACTATTTAATTATTCATTTAATATACTCTTTCATTTAAAGGATCACCAAGGATCACAGTTTTTTGTGCGTCCAGAAGACGCAACACGGCAGACCGGAATAACACAAGAATAGATATGGAAAGATTTCACCATGCACAATATACACAATAATGTCCACTGCAAGAACACGGATAGGTGTCAGCCTCTTAAAAGGCAACCCACGTTGCCTTTGCTGCTTTGGAACGTTTTGGAGTTAATAAAACACAACATTGCGAAGCAGTATGTGTCACTGTCGTGTTGTCGGGCATATTGGCACTGTTTCGACGATGTGGCGACAACGCTTCATATTTAGACTTAAGTTTGAAACTAGTTGGCGCCCTTTTGCGGTGTGAAAATATTAATATTTCAACAATGCAATTAACGGCAAACATATTGCATTGTTTCCTCCAATCCCCATCCTGGAAATGTCCTTAGTTCACTTGTGGAAAGTGGAAGTCATCCCTCGAGTCATATAGTCTTGTGGCAAGTGTTTCATCACAACCATCATCATCATTGTTCACAGATCTATCTTCTAACTAGGAACAGATGAGGTTGTGGCATTGGTCTTCTGTGTCTATATTTCAAGTGGAATGAAGTTGTCTGTTTCATGGCATTTGAATTATATCAGATCGACGAAAACTGTTTTTTCTTATTGTAGTTGTATAGATGGTCGTAAACTTTTGTATCAGAAGCCCCCGGGATCAAAATGAAGAGGCTTTGTCACGAAGGATAATGCTGAACCATGTTTATAAATTGAATTATTTAAGGAAATGAAACATTGCATTAATTCCACTCGCCTCAAATGCTCTCTGTGCATTGCTTTGTGCATCGTACATGTAGCTAAAGTATCGGAAGACCGGGTCAAGTACCAAGGAATAACACTTGTGCTAAAACATCTGGCTTAGACTGAGATCGGGTCGTTTGAATGTGTGACCTGCTTACTGTTTTGTTATGAACATATTTTAAGTGATATCAGTTGTTAATGGGGTGGGGTGGGTGAGAATGGAGGGAGGGGGGAGTGGGTGCTGGATTGACCCGGATTGTAGACACGTACCACACTGGTGAATCAAGCCATGGATAATAACCGATGACATGTGTCAACCAAGTCAGCGAGCCTGACCACCCGATCCCGTTAGTCGCTTCTTACGACAAGCATTGGCTACTGAAGATCAATATTCTAACCCGGACCTTCACGGGTCTCATGGGTTGTGAGTAAATGTTGTGATAAATTGTACATATTTTATTTCAGCATAGCGTTTATCGAAGGAAGTTGGTCAGTGCTGTCGCAGAGTATTTCCCGGAAAAGCTATACTTTGTTTGATGGGTAGTGTTTGTAGAAGGAAACCTGGGTTCGAATATGCAGCTCACAGTTACTTCCCGTATGCTGTGCCACAGATATAAGGTCCGTATTGCGTCTACTGCAATGTTTTTGATACAACGTGTCAACAGTCATGTGATTTTCTACCCGAAAGAGAAGGTTAAACTACATATTTAGTTACTCGCTATAAATACGTTGGTGGAAATACAATGTCAGTTTACACTTATTGGTATATATACTGTAAGCCATTAAAAACGCAATTGGTATTTGTTGTCCTGAAACTTACAAAAGTTCTATTGAAGATATTTTCCTGCGATACAGAGGATGTAGGGATACAAGGCTGTTATTCTGGCCAATTTCGAGTTCGAGTCCCGGAGCATTGCTCTCGCATGAACTTAAAACTGAACCTTTGACATTTCTCGTAAACACAACCACATTCATGAAACACGTTGTGCACATGCATTACCTGCACCCAGGCCCTGTAAAAGCACAAGGAATTGTGGAACTCAATCACTTTGAGAAAATGCCACACTTGACACAAGACGAAAGGAATCAGGTTATCGGTATGGTCAGCCAAGGTGCTTCAGATGTGATGATTGCCAGGCACTTTAATGTGCATCCATCCACTGTAAGTCGACTCAGACAACGTTTTCGGGCTACCGGAAGTGTTGCTGATCGTCCGCGACCTGGTGCACCACCTGTGATAACAGCTCGACAAAACCGCAATATCCGAGTTTCACACTTGCGAAATCGGTTCCAAACAGCTGATGATTAGGCAAGGATGACAGTTGGGACAAGTCAGCTGTTCCTGAGAAATGTGTGTCTTTCAAAGCCCCAAAGACTGCGAGCATGTCTTGCAGCGCACGGTGGACACACGCTATATTGACTGCAAGTGACCCCTCCTTTGTGTGATGTCGTTGTTGCGTCACTGATGTTCTTGTTGACTGGACATTTTCAGATGAAATTATTCACATTTTCACATTAAACATATCTGCGAGTTAGGTTTATATATGTTGAAATTAGTGTGAGTAAAGAACGTATGAATGTCAAATTGCATTTTTAACGGCTTTCAGTATAGTTTCTGTCGTACAATGAACTCTGTTTTAGCTGACTATTTAATGTTACCCTCCCGATGCCTCTGCACATCTGTTGATTTGGCTGGTGTTTCTTCATCAGAGGCTAGTCGGGGCATTGTGGACCTATTCACACTTCACTTAGAATGGTTGCAGCCGTCAGATATGTTAGAATCCAATGGTCACGAGGTCCTGCCAATCTGATCATGAAGTGTGTTACCATGTTACATGTGCTGTTCTCCACACAACTGCCTCACTTTATGCTTTTCTCGTTATTGCTAAGGTGACATTCCAGGTTTTGATTGAAATACTGCTCTGTTACTCGGGGTATCATGCTCACTCGGGAGTTACTATCTTCCCCGTATGTAGCCGCAAAACCGTTGCTACAGGGTTAAAGGGCAACTTTTATTTATTTATGGGAGAGGTGTATCTCAGGCACGAGTGTATTTTATTAAAGCTGGAGCACACTTCCTCGTGAACAGTACGACAGACTGTTGAAGGCCGTCTGCAGTGTAGGATATATCAGATCGTTGGTGTGCAACATTGGTGAGTTATTATTGTATCAAATATACAAAATGTGTTTGATTTACATAATATGCATATAACCAGTTTGTTGACTCTACAAATAAGACAAAAGCTGAAAATATCTGGCCTAGTCCACAACGAAAATTGTATTTAACTGGTGTTGTTTGTTGATAAAGAATTTAACAGATAATGCAACGCTCAGTGAGAAGATATCAAGGTGAAATATTCTACGGCTTCAGGACCACGCGAATATGTCACAAGTGACAATGGTTTCATCTGTAAATTGGGGCATTCTTTCCCATGTCTCATACTCTTCTAATCTGGCACTGTGTAACCTTCCATAAAGTCAAATACCCGTATTGTGTTTGTACCAGTAATTACTTGCTGTTTTCAGAGTTTTTGATGAACCCAGATTAAGATTTGCAATAGGACGCGGATATCACAGTTGGAATATCCGTGGTGTTACTGTATTATTAAGTCGTTTATACTGGAAATAGAAAATGTGAACATGTTCCATGTCAGACCTCAAACCTTTGTCCTTGTGCATTTGTCAAGCATTAACGTTCCTCACCTCACTGGAATTATCTTCCTCCTTCCTCATGCAGGAGAACAATATTTGTCTCGTACACTGACAATCATCTCCCTTCTCAATGTCGTTGTATCTTCCAAGTCGACGTCTGAATTTATTATTGCAGCGTTTCTGGAGTGTTATAGTCGACAATTTCGACGTAAAAACTTTTCCAAATAAACAACTATATCTCTCTGGTAATGGCACACATATACCGTTTGCCTCCCTATGAGAACAACGAATTGCAACATGATTCAAAACCGCGAATATAGATCAAATGTCAGTACGCTACATTGCAATGCATACCCTGTACCCAACACCATCTGCTGTTTGTTATTATTATACCCAACATTATAAAAGGCTGATAAATCATCTCCTTGTTATTGGCAGAAGTTCACATCTTTAAATGTTATGGTACAACGATAGGACGGACGGCGCATTTTCTACTCCGTGAAAAAAAGTGTTATTTTGTGGAATCATTTGCGACCTTTAAGCCCAGTGTAATCATAATTTTTAAACTGTCTGATACACTCCCACACAAGTAATTGTCCTTTTTCTTTTGCTGCACCCAGAAAAAAAGAGATCGTTGTGATATATTTTCGTTTTTACGTTTGTTAGTGCCATAGTTGTACACTTGAGGTTCACCATGTTGTACTCGCTAAATTCTGCATTTCCTCAACCTTTTATATCACATCAAACTGGTACGGGATGATATGTCTAAAATCTGGCGTTAAATCGCACTTTTAATTTATTTCGCATAGTAGGCGCTTTTATCTGTATCGAATGAAAGTACGAGAAGAACCTTTCACCCTAAATTGTTCATATCATTTTCCTTTTCAGGGTTTCAATGAAAATGGTTGACAGAAAGATTATAAGTCTGGTTCTGCTCAACCTGATTGCGTCCTTCACATGTGGTAAGCACTGGCATCACATCAATCAGTTCACCGAGAAAGAAGTCGGTGTTAACACATCATGCCAATATCAGTTGTACTGTAAGAAAGCATGGTTACAAATAACAGTTACTGATAAATAATTACAATGACAGCTTTGAAGATATACAAAGGCTGTATATGATAACAGCGGTAACTGCAGGGAAGCTGGTGATTAAAATATTCACCTAACACCTTCATAAATAGGACTGGACGGGATATTCAGTGTGAAGTGGTTCGATAATTACTTTCTACAATATAACGCCATGCGTATTGCAACCCATGCTTGTCATGGTCGGGTGGTCAGGCGAATTGATATGGTCGACACATGTCATCATATCCCAACTGCGTAGATCAATGCTCTGGATGTTAATCACTTTATTGTGTGGTCCTGACTCAATTATTCACAGACCACCGTTGTATAGTTGTAATTTAAAATGCGGCGTTTAACAACCAAATACAACCAAAAACAAAACAAAACAACAAAAACCTGATCCAAAAGTGTTGCTATATTTTAACAATGTTAGGTTGAGCAATAAAATATGCCTGCCCTACCTCACGTTCAAGATTTATCATCTACTCAACTGCCATTCCACCATCTGTCATTAAATGTTCTCACAAACTTGCAATATTTTGTGCTCAATGCTGATGTTAATAATGCAATGACTGAAGTTCAGATTTATACAGATATTTTGTTATCAGTGAATCTGTCTTATGATTTAGAACGTGTTATTGTGCTGACTGAACATTGTTTTCTTACTTACTGTGTGTAAAATATCTTACTGTGCTCAATCTGACATAACTCACGTGAACTTCATATTCGCTCTGTTTATCAATTCTAACGTGCAATATACACATAGTGAGAGTACCTGTAGCCCCGAAAGAGTTAACTACAGTTAGTAACTGTGGAGCCTATTTGCAGCTCAGACGGCCACCCAATGCCCTGGTGGAATGGCTCTTCTTGGATCAGAATACACAATAGTCGCTGTCAGAAACTACACAGGCTTTGTATGGGTAGACCCCAGTGATAGAAATGTCGTCATCTGCCACCCCGTCTGCGTCTCAGCTGAACCTGGGTACAATGCAACCTTGAACGACACACATTCTACACTCATTATACACAGTGTCAGGATGAAAGATGTTGGTAACTGGTTCTTACGCGACGCAACCGTGGATGCTGCCGTCCCAGTCGACCTGTGCCAGTTGACAGCAGCTGGTGAGTAGAAGGACAAGATAATTTGTGTCGAGTTATTAATATCATGAACCTCAAACAGTGACAAAGGTCGAGTAGTATTCGTTTCCAATACAAAGGTAACAAACCCGTTTATCAAATACCCTTGCCATGGATTTGTATGGCCATATACCATCACAGTTACCTTTGACTTCAGGCCGCAATACAGATTCCACTTTATCATCCAAAACTGTGTTCCACAGGAGATATCGCTTGTGTGAGATCAAACGATATCTCCTAGGAGATATCGTTTTGACAGTATATTTTGTACAATGCCCTGACAATGCTATGACGTCATGTACTTGATGACGTCACAATGCTATGACATCACTGCACTGCAAGTGTAATGGCAGTACCGTGTTGAGAGATGTACATATTTCATTGAAAATTAATGAAAAGTGATTTTGGATGATAAATAGAATCTCACCCTCGTGTCTTCTGATATCAAATATATCAACACTCGTTGATAAAAGTTAAAATATCCTCGGCAAGCCTCGGATATTTGTAACTTTATCAACTCGTGTTGATATAATTGATATCAGAAGACACTTGGGGGAGATTCTCTATGTATATACATTAAGCCCCTCAGTATGACCGGAGTCATAATCAAAGTAACAGAAGCATAGGGAGCGTGTCTATCTATACACGTGGGGAAAACTGAGAATCAAAGGGAATATAGCTATGCCTTTTGCTGCAATTTGTCATATAATACACCCCCTGGATGTTATCGATCACAATATACAGTTTGCATTATTTCATACAGTAATCGAAGTTCAAGTAACTGTATAAATTATGATTACACAATGCCATTTAGAAAGTGGTCAAATGCAACATATATCTATATTTGGGATTACACTTTCTTAGTTAACTACAAATTCTAGTACTTTTTGGGTTGAGTCCCATCCGGGATTAGAACCCACACCCTCAGAGTCAGGCACCTAATCGCCAGCACACTAAGTCAGCCGCTTAACCCGCTCAGCCACCGCGACTTACACAAAGTCTGCAGTCTAGGCTAGCAGATGTCCTACTTCCATTTATGGAAGTCGCGGTGGCTGAGCGGGTTAGGCGGCTGACTTAGTGTGCTGGCGATTAGGTGCCTCACTTTCATGGTGTGGATTCGAATCCCGGATGGGACTCAACCCCAAAAGTACTAGAATTTGTACTTTACTAAGAAAGTGTAATCCCAATATAACATATGTTACGTTTATAAATTATATATAAATACAATGTTTGAGTGGAATGCCCAAGTTGTCGGATGGGGCCACAATGGGTGTCTACAGATAACCCGTATATCGAACTAGTTGCAGAAACTTATTTCAAGATTTATTCAATATAATGTTCGCTAAATCGTAAGTATACTGAGAAGCCTTTTTCAAAACTAAGATGTGAAGCTGTGGAAATGTTAGGCTAAAATAATTTGGAGTCTAATCCGAATTTAGAGAAGGTTCATCTGGTAACTGATTTAGAGATATCATATTCATTTGTATTTACAATTAAAGGAAATATTTGTAAAGATATGATGGCACTGATTTTTAAAGCCAAATAACTATTCCTATTCTGCTTATACAACACTATTAAACTTAGGTTTCATTTGTCAAAAATGACAATCATGTGACCATAAAACAGTCATTTCTGATTTTCACTTTTCAAAAGAAGGTAACCTTTTTGAGAAAAACAACATGCATGTTTTCCAAAAGCGCATATATCCTGTTTAAAGTTAAAGATAATTTCCATAATGGTTTTGTTTTTAATCTAAAAGTACTAAACCAAATTATGATAGTTGATTTGTTCTGAAAGATGTCCTATGAGACAACCTATATTGGCAAAATATACTGGGCGGCACTTAACTTTTTATTCATAGTATAGTTCAAGCAAAGAGGCCTCGTTTGCACGCTGATTACGATTGTGAGTTTACCGTGTGATTTTAAAAGGTCTTTTACTAATAACTATGCAATATCGTAGTAGGGTGGTTAAGGCAAAGATTTTGCACTTTGGGTTAAAAGCACCAAACTTGGCATACTTACATATTGACCCATTCCGAACATTTCTAGATATGGATCCACCTCAGCAGTGCCCCCTGGTTGCAGAGAATCCAAGATGGTCGCCATTTTGACTAAAATACAATCGATGCTCAATATATCATAATTGTCTTGTCATATTTCGTATTTCACAGATGATTAATGGGAACAGTGATGTACATATTCCCAATTTATTACACAGCGCTACCTGGTGGTGATGAAAATCCAATATTGCCACCAAAATATTCAGAAATTGCCTTGTTATACTGCTATTATTTGTAAGTTAATACCTTTTGGCTTTGGATAAGTTGTTGATATTTAAATATATATAATATTGTGAAAAAGACATTTTAACCCAAAGTGCACAATTTTGACAAAATCCTTGCCTTAACCGCCCCACTATAGGCACTTTACACTGTTTGATAACTGCGTTAAATCCAAACATTGGGTTACTAAGACAGCACTTCTGAGTTTGTGACTCGCGTCAGTGAAGAAACCCTCAAAGAAAGATAGACAACCCTGTATTGTAACGAAACGTTCATCTATGTAGTTACATTTTTTAACTTTTGTGTAGTTAAACAACTTTGTCAATAATGTCTTGCTCTCAGGTATCCCACAGTGCAGCATCAGCAGTGACGAGGACACCGACTCCCTGGAACCTGGAACACAGCTGACTCTGGCGGTGGACATCACAGGCTACTACTGTTCTGTGGAGACTGGCTTTGATCTCACTACTGGTGATGTGACTGAAGAGTTGGGGACGAGACACAACGTCAGTGTTGTAACAGACATAACCATCACCACAAACTTCAGTGTAGACATCACACGATTAGGTGATGTAATGCTGGACTTCACATGTGACAGAAGTTGGACTGTGACGTGTAATGGTGTCCGTAAGCTACTGAAAAGTAAGTAGACAAGAATTTTAGTGTACACAACGAAAGGTTTCTGAGCTATCTAAGAGTTTGCTTTGATGCCTGATGACAATCGTCCAGCGTAATGATGTGGGAGGGGATCCTCAAGTGTACAAACTGAGGGTTAAACTACCGAGCGCATAACAAACCACTGAGCGAGTATATGGTTCAAGGTAATGATCGGATCCTGGCATTGCTTTTATTGCGGGATCCATTCACTATGGACATGTTTCATTCCTATATTTAGGAGTACAACTAATTTATTTCATGTTGTTTTCTCATCCCTCCATCTCCCCGTCCATTCATTCAACAAATCTCTTCTCATTCATTCACACATTCAACAAATCCCTTCTCATTCATTCACACATTCAAGATATCCCTTCTCATTCAACCTTACATTTAGCAATTTATTTAGGTCAGGTAGTTCACCGGCATTGAGAAACCCAGCCCACCAGAATCTGTTTAGTCCGGATCACATATAATGAGTAAACCCTTTGGCACTAACATATCATAATCAGTTCTAGGCACTGGACAGTGAACATATATTAGAATTATTTTTTACAATTTTATTTCATTTCGTATTGTATTGTACAAGTTTCATTCATTCATTCATTTTATATTGTATTGTACACGATTCTTTTTTTCATGTGTTCCCCATTCATTCATTTGAAAAGAATCCTATTCATTTAATTAATTTTCATCTTGAAACCAGCTCCACCACATTGCAACATCAGCAGCGACACAGACACCACCGCATTGGATCCTGGTACAAATCTCACCCTGACACTCGACATCAGGAACTACTACTGTTCCCAAACTGCTGGGTTCCAATTGACGACTGGAATCATTACAGAAACACTCCTGGAGAACCACACAATGGACAACATAACTGACACTGTTCTAACCCAGTTCTTGAGTGTGACAGCTGACCACTTCGGAGACGTCACTGTCACGTTCATGTGTGACAGCATCACCAGGCCCCTTGTCTGTGACGGAGTTGACAAGCTGAGCGGTAAGTATTTATTTGTATTTGTATGTTTGGAATATATAAAACATTTAAAGGATAATGTTGAACCACAAACATTAGTTCTGTACTAGTCCCCTATGATATCTAGACAAAGGTTTAGATTATCTACTCCATATGTTCGTGAAGATAACACAAGCCGAGGTCAAGGCAGATACAGTTGTCTGATACATTGTGCAGGGTAGCGCCTCATGGGTGTGAAATGAACTGCTGGTCGCGGTTTGACAGTTTTACGGCAGTTACTTATCGATTTTGTTGGGAAGTTTGACAACATGCTACCACGGGTGCAACCTTATAATCCCGTGCGTTTTGAAGTTACAGTTACAGTACTGGGCGAAAGTGTCCTAGATAAACAGTAGTTATTTCCCTGATTTAAGAGTGCAAACTTTAAGTGTCATCATATTTCATGTCATACTGCATAGTGATTAAAATGCACATGTGAAGACTTAATCGGAAGCCCACAATCGACTCTTTCATTAGCAGTATTTCTTGCTGTGATAGAAAGTGCTTTGATGTATGTTCGCTTGAATCGAGAAACAAACAAATATGGGGAAGTAAACAAGTACCTCATAAGAATAAGTAGGAATACCATTAACTGTTCATTACGCCGTGATAGCTTCGTCATGTGGCAGCGTTGGTGGCGAATATAATTAATGTGTTTGTGTGTGCCTATGAGTGTAAATCTGTGTGTGTCTGTGTGTGTGTGAGTGTGCATGTATGTTGGTGTATGTATATCAGTGTTTGTGTGTATAAGAGTTTAAATGTGTGAGAGTGCATGTGTGTACATGTGTGTGTGTGAGCATACAAACACATAATTGAATCTGAACCAGACAATCCAGTGATCAACATCATAAGCATCTATCTACGCAATTGGGATACGTTGAGATGTGTTAACCATGTCAGCGAGCCTGACCACCCGATCCCGTTAGTCGCCACTCACGACAATCTAACCCGGATCACGACATTCTAACCCGGATCTTCACGGGTCTTACAGACTTGGATACTTGGCATCGATCTTACAATTTTCATTTTCAAATAATACTTCAGATACAATTACGAATTTTGTTTACCTGTAGGAGTAACGTCATCGACTACAGAAACATCTGCAGTCACAATATCCAGTAAGTTGGACAAAGCTTCAGCTTTGTAAATGGTGGGTGCAGGACATCTTTACATTTTTCGCCATTATCAATTAGTTAACTTCACAAAATGGTCATGTGTGACAGCCATATTATGAATGTGAGAATACACAGTGACAATGGTGGAGGGTGTAAATACGGTTATGGAGTAAGTGCACAAACGTTTCTTGTCCGGTTGAGTTGAAGATGTTGAGATTATCTCTTAAATGTTAAAAAAACTGTGGCAGTTCACTGTGCTTTTAACAACAAACAGTTTAATTTTCAAATAGTTCAAATTTGCAGTCTTCAGTTGTCTGGGCCCTCGTTCTACACAGAAGTGTGTGACATTTTGTCACATTGGCGTATTTCTATACACAAAGAACTTAATTGAGCACCCCCTGTATTTTTGCAATGATAGGTTTACAACACGTGCATAAAACTTCTCATGGTGATTTAAGCACCCCCTGTATTTTTGCATTGATAGGATTTCAACACGTAAATAAAACTTCTCGTGGTGTTTCTGGCCCGTAGGATCCTGTAAATCATAAATACAGCATATTGCATGATGATTATTGCTCATTTTAAATACAAAATCAAGTATGGTCCTGGAATGTTTAATGCTGAATTTACTGGTGAATGTGAACATTCAAAATGTCATTTTACGTGGTGTCTCACACGATTAAATACCGAGGGTAACCTCAATGTGACTGTATGACAGCCAGCACTCTCCTCCTCATACCCACTGTCAGTCTCTTGATCCTCTGAAGGGGCAGTCTACGCCTTTCCTTGTTTAAAGACAGCTACCAATTGGGCCAGGTTCTGTACAAGGGGATCCCTTTGTTGCACACTACGACCTGATATGCTCCAAAGGATTAAGGTCGGAGCTCATTCAATATGAATGTGAAATGTGACAGTGGGTGCTTAAATAGCTTCTTTGTGTATATTTTGAGTGCTCTGTATATAATTACACACATACGTACGTGGACAAGTGTGTTGGCTACGGGATGTGCTGTACAGCATAAATAGCTTTGTATCATCATCTTGACTTCATCCAATACGAGTTGATTGAGATTCGACCACAATGTCGGGATTGGATTGTCTTCGATACAGTTCAACAAATCGATCTGATCGTTATGATTTTCGTAAGTCTTTGTCTAAGCGTTAAGGTACTCATTCAGCTGATATCTACAATAGCATTACACGTTGTCTTTACCTGTAGGTGCGACATCATTGACTACAGAAACATCTACAACCACGGTACCCGGTAAGTTCGACAGGGCTTCAAATTGTGAATGGCAGGTGCAGGACATGCTCAACCTTCATGACCACCCGGTGTCATCACTGACACGTGATCATTCATATCATGTTCACACATATTTATCTGTTTACACCAAAAGGAATTTTATCGCGGAATAGTTAAGACTAGGTTTTGTTTTGCACTGATGTTTTATTGTTTGTACTTATAATTGAATACAATTACAATTATACATATGAACTTCTTCTGATTTTGAGGCTGACATATTTTCAACACTGAATGAAAAAGTAACAGTATATTTATGTAGGTAAACCATGCTTTCTTGAAGCAACTATTTTGACATTTTCCGTCTGGTTAATTCCTTAATTGTTTGTAATATTCAATGCTTGACGAAAAAGCAATAAAGCAAAACAAAAACAAACACACAAAAAACAAGACATAACAAAATACAGGCCCGATTTAACAGGTTGGCCCGGTCCTTGGTCAGTTTATCTTCAATATTGCATGGTACATGAAAGATGGCTTAGTCCGGCACCCATGCAATCTTCGTCATTACGTCAAAAAGTGTACACGTTGTGTCTTCCTTTATCAACCTGGAATAAATATGGCCGTTTTGAGGTCTTCGTCAAAGCGTCACAACGTGTATACCCAATACGTTCCTGCCACACGTGGAATATTTGGAATAACCCTTTATTATTAAGAAAGTTTGTACATATTCCCGTACCTATTTCAGCTGAGTTTCATTCGGGATTTGAACCCACTTTCTTTTCGGCAGGTTTCGGAGGTGTTTCGATGAAGGTGTTCGAACTTTGTTTTTTAATGAGAATGTGTAATCCCAGATGTTACATGCTCAATTTGACCACTTTCTAAATGGTAGTGTCTATTCAAAACAATTTCTCAGGAAAATCAAGATTCATGCATGCCACCTTCTTTATTGTGAACAACACGACCTTTCGGAGTGTATGCTTCATTCGTCATAAGGTCAAGCATACACCCAGAAATGTCGTGTTATTCACAATAAAGAAATTGACATTCATGAATATTGCTTTTCTTATGCATTCCACTTCTAAATGCCCTTCAAAGATTTCATATTTTCTTGTTTTAGATGTAACAACCCCCGGCCTTGAGTCCCCCACTACGCCGCCCGATGTAGTGTCCACCCCCATCAGCCCCACTCCTGTTGATGAAGAAAACCCACCAATAGATGCAACTCTGGGTCTTGCAATTGGATTGCCTGTGCTTGTCGTGTTACTTATAATCCTTGGCGTAATCATATACCGCTACCGGCAACAAATAGGAAACTACCTTGTCACCAGAAAGAAAGACACTGAGCTACAAAACTCAAATTTTAATAAAGTTGAATGAAATACAAATAGTATTAGAAATTATGAATATATATATATATAAATATATATATTCAATTATTACGAAATGTCTCTTGCTGCCTTTATAGACAGCTTGCTTGATCAAAATTCTAAAACAGTTCCAAATCACGAATGGATGTGTGATTGAACGGTCCTTTACGTCAAGATTACCATCTTGGACCAGGCAATCCCGTGATCAACATTATGAGCATCGATCTACACAGTTGAGATTCAATGGCATGTGTCAACCAAGTCAGCGAGCCTGACCACGCGATGCTGTTTGTCTCTCACTAATGGTAGCGAGAATGATTTCTTGGACGTATGCAACTTTCATAATGTAACCCCCATTATACAGATGAATATGTGAAGTATGAGTCAGCCATAGATGTTTCCAACTTCACTTTCCAAGAACAATGATGCTATTGCAGACATTGATAGAGAAACAGGATTTTACAATGTGTGTAAGGTATATTTGTTGACTGTTCTATTGCTGACTGTACTAGCAGCTTTCTTGATAGAATTCGGAAGAGAGTGAGTATTGTTTTCAGTCACTTTCAGCAATATTGCAGCCATGTAACGTTGGACGACACCAGGAGAGTTAGTCGTTACGAGAAAGATCTTAGTGCCTTTTATAATATATCACCCAGTATATTGATAATTAAAGTACTGTCGGAAATAGAAAAAAAACTGTTTTTTTCACGTTTGTATCCACAATTTAGGTTGTTGATATGTGAAAGTGTGACTTTTGAACTAAGTTCAGCCTAACTACAGTCTCAGTGGTAGGGAGATAGGAAACGGAAAAAGATTTTTTATGAGGAGATATTAGTGCAGAAATGAGCAATGCGGTTTTTTCCCCAAGTCCAAAGCGACTTACAATATATTAGGAGCAGACCATGGCTTTATGCAAATTAGTGTGCGATGATATTGTATAACAAATGACACTTTTTGAATGTCCTTTTTGAAATTAGACTTACCTTCATAAAAACGATAGCAGACGTAAGAAATAACAACTGTAATATTGAAACTATTAAAGCTATAGATACCATTGAGTCTCACTATCACTGTAAAGAGAAACAGGTAGGAGGGGTCGTCTCAAAAGCACAACCAAGACGGGCGATGCTGACGGTAGTTGGGGTCGGGCCTGGGGACAGAGATATTAGCTAAGATTAAATAATGAGAAGAGACATAGTCAATACACATGAAAAAGCATAAAATATATTTGAGGTGACCCCTTGTGCCTATGGGCAGCACGTGCATTCATGCCAAGTGAGTTGACGGTCCGTCGTCATACCTGGCTGAGCGACCTAATTGCCATCTATAATCTGATCTATTGTTTTCAGCAGCTGTTCCTATTTGTTCTAAGTTTTGCCCGATTTTACGAGTAAACATGCTTTCCTGGATATCCTACTACGCATCCCACTGCACGCCCAGTTAGAACAATGGGGGTTATTTCGACATATTCTATTTGCAATTGTGTAAATTTTAGGGATACAGAGTAGCAGCCTAAAAACTTCTTTTTTCTATTTCCGACAGTACTTTAGTGGACTCAGTGTCAGTCATAAATAGTTTCAACATCCGTGACCAAGACCAATGCTATTGTACACACCTATATCAAAACAGGAATTGATATTTATAGTGTGTTTAGATAACTGTTACCTTTACATAAGGAAGTGAATTTTATGGATGTCAACTTCTATATTATTAGGAACACAACGTTTCGGAGTATATACTTACTTCTTTGTCAGTTGAAGGAGCAAGAATATAATCCGAAACGTTGTGTTCAAGTTGATATCCATAAAATTTCTTCCTTATGTGCATCATTTCTAAATGCCATTCAAAGACCTTGTTTTGTATATATCTATACTCAGATACTGACATTTAATGACATTTTTGGCGTGTTCCAGCAATGTTATCAGCTGAATGGACCATTATATTTTTGCATTTAATTTCCACGCCCTAGAGTACGGCATTAAGAGGAATTCCACTGACATCTGAGGGAATTTCTTGGATCCCTCTTTTGTATCACATTGGAGTACTATGGAGCGAAACATTATAATAAAACCATTAAACTACATCAGGGTTTGAGTTATTTTTATATATGGAATGTTTGGTTACAACGGTTATCCACTGCTCTCAAAGTCTACGCGTTATTAAAGAGGAACGGAATGACAGACATTGGATGATGGCAATTGCAAGTCTTCATTTAAGCTGCTGGGTTTTGGTGTGTTAACACAACAGCTAGCAATATTTCGAAGGGACATTGTGTTTTGGTGTGTTAACACAACAGCTAGCAATATTTAGACGGGACATTGTGTTTTGGTGTGTTAACACAACAGCTGGCAATATTTCGACGGCATATTTTGTTTTGGTGTCTTAACACAACAGCTAGCAATATTTAGACGGGACATTGTGTTTTGGTTTGTTAACACAACAGCTGGCAATATTTCGACGGCATATTGTGTTTTGGTGTGTTAACAGAACAGCTGGCAATATTTCGACGGCATATTGTGTTTTGGTGTGTTAACACAATAGCTGGCAATATTTAGACGGGACATTGTGTTTTGGTGTGTTAACACAACAGCTAGCAATATTTGGACGGGACATTGTGTTTTGGTGTGTTAACACAACAGCTGGCAATATTCAAGGTTGTGTAGTTTCTAAACATAACCGTCAACAATGCTCCATCAACTTGGTTATCCAGGGTTTCAATGAGCAGGTTGAGACCAGAACATTCCGAGTGTTGCTATTGTAAATCATTTAATGTATCATAAAACTTCATTAGTATCCGTCCCTCAAGAGCCAAGCTAACATAAAGAGGCATATCGCACTAGATAATTTATTGCTAGATACCGACAGAGGTAACACCATTTGACTGCTGCATCAAGGTGACTTGTATGTGCGAGGGAAACCCAAAGAGTAACAGATCTGTATCATATCAAGCTAAGCCGTATATCTTAGTATCTTGAGTCAATTACCAAAGACAAATGTGATCCGAGACATTCAAAATGTCCCCTAATCTGTATTTCAACCGTTTTTTCTGTACTCCTACGCGTTAGAATCTCCGTACTACTATACAAGATTGTTAATTCCATATCATCGAACTGGATGTTCAGGTTCATCGATCATTGCCTGGCTTGTTTACAGGCCGCTGTCGCATGGCAGGAGTACTTGGACACTGTGAAGCGACAGCCAAACAATATTTTCATTGTTTGTAAAATTTGTGAATGGCGGGTGTTACAGGAAGGGCAGGATGTGATACCATTTCAGCGAACACCTGGTGTCATCACTGAATTTCACAACTATTTTCCCTTTTCACCAGACAGAATTTGTTTCTGGAAACTGGGTATTGTTTTGAGTGAGTGAGTGAGTGAGTTTAGTTTTACGCCGCACTCAGCAATATTCCAGCTATATGGCGGCGGTCTCTAAATAATCGAGTCTGGACCAGACAATCCAGTGATCAGCAGCATGAGCATCGATCTGCGCAATTGGGAACCGATGACATGTGTCAACCAAGTCAGCGAAACTGACCACCCGATCCCGTTAGTCGCCTCTTACGACAAGATAGTCGCCTTTTTATGGCAAGCACATGGGCTGCTGAAGACCTATCCTACCCCAGATCTTCACGGGTCGGGTATTGTTTTGCACTCACGTAGTATGTTCAGTGAAAAAGTGATCAAATATATAATGCTGATAAAACAAATATAATTTGAGAAAATTTGGAATTCATTTCCATTGTCATCGGAACCGGGCACAGCTAAGGGACGCAACTCGCCATGATCAATCAACGACTCAACGGCCGTTTGCCTCTCCCTGGGAAAGATCTTTTTATGCGCTGCTTTCAAAAATATTCAAGCAATGCCATGAAAGTCTCTCAATAATGCATCTGCCAAACCCAGGGGCTGATATAATGAGCACCGCCCATCCCACATTGTCATGCATTGGTACATTGCACAAAATCACCGATACTGACAACCCTACCTTTCCAATAGCCTTTAGCGATAGGTATGAGAGACTATTTGGGACCTTTTCAAATGAGGATTAAAAGAACCCTTTGTTTATGCGACATGTACCTGAAATATATGTCATCAAATGAAACGACGTATTTCACTGTCTACCCTATCTATTACAATCCTATTAAAAGTCCTAGCATGCTGTTGGAATGCTGTGTGTGCCGGCTCTATTAAGCGTTTACCCCTCACGAGTGAGTGATTGAGTGAGGTTAGTTTTACGCCGCTTTTAGCAATATTCCAGCAATATCACGGCGGGGGACACCAGAAACGGGCTTCACACATTGTACCCATGTGGGGATTCGAATCCGGGTCTTCGGCGTGACGAGCGAACGCTTTAACCACTAGGCTACACCACCGCCCTTTTACCCCTCGCGAGAATACCTAAACCAATTTCTTTAAGCTCGCGAGTTACTCCCTCGTGTTCGTGCACTACTCCAATCACAGACAGAAGATGGAACATTGAAGAATAATGACAAGGAAGAGGAAGCAAAACGCCCTTGTACAACCATGGGTAATTAATAGCTTCTAAGGCTAGCACAGAATGTGTGGCTATCCGAGAATAAACTTGTGGCAGAATGTTAGGCTATCCGAGATTCAACTCGTAGCAGAATGTGTGGCTACCCTAGAATCAACTCGTGGCAGAAGTGGGAAATGCCTTGCATGACCACAGGTAACTAGTAGAACATACTTCCCAGGCTAGCACAAATGTGTGGCTAACCGAGAATAAACTTGTGGCAGAATGTGTGGCTACCCGAGATTAAACTCGTTGCAGAATGCGTGGCTATCGTTTTGCCCGTATCCCACATACAGTGTAACTGTATACATAAAATATGAAAACCTACGTTCAGAACACACAGCTTCCTCCTTGCTAAGAAAACCCTATCAGTGCTGTGTGAGAGCAGCCTGACTTCATAAGTATCAATAATCCAGTTAGATTTTAGACGAAAATGTTACACTCGATCTGATGCTAACTTAAGATGTTTTTCTAAGA